AAACAACTGACCTCAACTGTATTTGGTGATTGTGTATTGAGTGGTTAGGTTGGTGATTGAGAGTTCATCCCTCATTTGCCTCTCTTAGTCACTTAGCCGTTACTAAGCACATCACTGATCTCCTCAGCCACAGGGCGAATCACAACCAGGGAGAAGACGACAATAAAGAGGTCATACTATTATGGCTGGAGCACTTTCGGGCAATGATTATGCCGACAGAAGAGGAGACACATGAATGCATCAAGAGCGCAACTCGGGACCCTCATAAGTGAGATCAAAGAATCGCCCCATCACTCAACCACGAGCAAGAGCTAAAGAAAGAAGGGGGATTGATCCGTTACGATGAACGAATCTACATCCCAAGAGATCAAAGGCTTCGAGGTGATATCATCACCACCTGCTATGATCATGTGACTGCTGGACATCTCAGGATCACAAAAACAAAGGAATTGGTCTTGAGGGAATACTGGTGGCTGAAAATGGACCATGATATCATCCGATATGTCAAAGCCTGTGAGACTTGCCAACGGGGCAAGACTTTGACACAACTCAGAGCAGCCCCATTACACCCAAATGAGGTCTCTTTATCGCCATGGATCCACATTTCTGTTGATATAATAACTGGACTTTCCGAAAGTGATGGCTATGATGCCATCATCATCATAGTCAATCACTTCTCGAAGGTGATCAGAATGATCACCTGCTCGACAGAATTAACATCTGAAGGGTGGGCAAAAATACTATGAGACAAGGTCTATGCAAAGTATGGCATGCCTCAGATGGTGATTTCTGACAGGGGACCACAATTCGTGTCCAAATTCTTGGATGACTTATATCGACTCCTCAATATCAAGTGAAATGCCTCAACAGCATATCATCCACAGACAGATGGCTAAACAGAATGGGCCAATCAAGAAATTAAAAAGTACTTATGACTTTTCATTAACTATCATCAAGATGATTGAACAGAATGGCTAGCCCTAGCAGCCTTTCAACACAACAACAGGATTCACTCCGCAACAGGTAAAACCCCATTCTTTGTGAATTATGGATGGAACCCACCAGTTGCACAAGTGGGACAGCCGCACACTACAATGCCTGTCTCAACAGACTTTGCAACAATCATGACAAAGATCTATGAGGACACTAAAAAGGCCCTCGAACAAACTGCTTCAACAATAAAGAAGCAGTATGACAAACACCGACGCCCATTGCATAAATATTCAGTCAATGACAAGGTTTGGCTGGATACGACAAACCTTCATCTCCCTAGACCAAAGCAGAAACTGTCAGACAAATGAACAGGCCCCTTCAAAGTGCTACGCAAAGTTGGAAACTCCGCATACAGGTTGCAAATCCCTGCAATCTGAAAAATTCATAATGTTTTCAATGAAACATTATTGACCCCATACATTGTGCCAGCCTTTTCAAACCAAGAAAAACCACCACTGCCTCCACCAGATCTCATCAATGATGAAGAACACTATGAAATCGATGAGGTTCTAAACCACAAAACCTGAAAGGTTAAAGCACGAGGCAGAGGCATGAAAACAACCATTGACTATCTAGTCAGTTGGAAAGGCTATGGACCGGAATCAAACCAATGGGTCAATGAAAAATATATGAATGCAGAGAATGCCATACGTAATTATGAACACAGAATCAATACATTGAACGCAAAGAGGGTCATGTTCAATATTATATCAAAAACTTCATCCGATGAGGGGTCAAAGTCAGCAATCAGAGAGGATGGAGAAGCTGACCCTAGGAACCAAATGGGGTGAACAATGGGAAGAGAGATGATATCTAGTCAGATATACATCAACTAACCTTGCACTAACAGAGGACATGTTACCAAGGACAATAAAGATGACTCTTCAACGATGGGTCCAGCAGATCGGCCACCTTCTTCTGGCAAGGAGGACTTATCCTAACTTAACCATCGGGACAATGGTCTTAAGGAGGGGGTAATGTTACAATTTTTCCTATTTTCTTTTCTTTTTTTTCTTCCTTTTCCCCAGAAATGACCCCTATCTTTGCTTAGTCAGGGTGCTTAGGCTAGCACTTAGGACCGTGGGAATGCTTAGCTCAGCAACCCAGTCAGTCACTCTCCTATCACATTGCTGTGTGCTGTGAAGAGAGAGACAATACTTTTTATCTCCAACTTGCACTGTCAAGATAATGAGCACAACAGCAAGACAACAGCTTTTGTGGAGAGCCTGGCAACAGCAGGGGTAACAGCTCTACAGCAGACAATATCTTTTGTGAATGGTTATTAATAGTCAGATAACAGAACAGTATTTAAGTAGCTTAGTTCTTGCTGTAATATCTCAGTCTCAAACTAAAGTTTATTCTCTACCATCCTATCTCGAGCAACTTGCAACACCTTGATCACACACCTCTGTTATCACATAGTGAACTCAGTCGGACATACCCAAAGTGTGAGGTACCAAACTGTTTCTCACGTGATAATAGTCATGTGGAGTTTGGGCTTAACAATATTGGTGTCCCTCTCCTAAAAGCTATCATGAGAATATCTTCATCAACAGTGAGGCTTTCTGCATCAAAGAGGCAACAAAGCCAGAGTTGTGCATCTGCCAGTCCTAAAAACAGATTGTTTATAGCATCCAATGCATCCTGTTTTAACATCTTGAGCCTGTCTTCAACAACTTGGAGAGTATGAGTGCATAATTTCTTGTCAGATACTTTGGAAAGGTACTTCACTATAATAAGGATGGCCAGGGTGTGGACATAGACAGTGGAGTCTTTCTTGGTCAAGTTATCAAGCAGACAGATGACATCTTCATGTTTGAGATGTCACTACAAAGATTTGCTTATCCAAGAAGAGTTATCATTTGATCAAAAACAGAATAAAGGACCTAATGTCAGCATACTTTGGTACCAAGAAAGTATAAAGGTGAAAAGATGGTTTTTTAATGAATTTAAAAATTCAGTGATTATAATGTTTAGCATGGAGATGGTATGCAACAGTCTTCATTTCTTGGGACCAGTGGCCATTCTATAAATCATAGCCATCCTTGTTTCTTAGGTCCACATCTTTATAAGCCACAAAAAGTGAGGACATGGAAAGATATCTCAATGAAAGAGACTGAAGACTTCTTCATAGATTTCATCATCCTTTATAACCTCATAAGCTGAGATTGGAGATTCTCAAATGACAGAGAATACCAGAAATTCTCTCTACATATAATTGCAGATGGAGTCACTTTTGTTGTATACTGTTTTGTCCTCTTAATTCACAAAGACCAGTCTCTTTGTCAGGTCAAAATCCTCACCTCTGATATACAATTATCAGTATTCTATATGCATAAAAAATAAATGTTTCACAAACAGGTTGTTGGCAGCTAATGAGCAAAGTTTCATACACTTGCAGATAGGCTGCATGTCTGCAGTTTCTTCTACCATTGCAGGTCATACACCAGGAAGCCAGTCAACAACCTCCTTCATGATACTTTACATCAGCAGGACTTGCTCATCATCTTCCTCCTCTGAGTCATATCTCTTGAGCTCTTTAGCCAAGAATTTCAGAGAAATATGGTGAAGCTTATACTTGAGGTCTCTTTCTAAGCCTCCTGGAAAAATATCCAGAAGAGAAACAGCAAATTTACAGACACTTTGAAGAGCCATGCTATTGTCAGGAGTCAGTTCAAGTGAGGTGGTCATAGCCAATATATCAGTAAGGAGGGTGTGGAGTCACTGTACTAGTGAAATGCTGGTTTTTGAGAAAGACATAGTGATGAAGTGTGAGTTCTAGGCCTGGAAGAAATGCCTTCATGCTCTCAATGTCAGTCATGTTTCTCTTTAATACTGAGAAAGATTCTGACCAGAATATTCAATGATGGCAGACACCAAATTTATCTGACCAATGACCAGTGATGCTAATTGACAACAAAGAAGATCAGCATGAATTAAAGAAAAATACAGCAGCAAGAACACATAATCTGTGAGGAGAGATGTGGCAGGTGGCTACAGACCATCAACAATGCTCAAAAAGACAATCATGACTGACAAAGGTTGCATCAAATTTCTGCTGCTGAATTTCATAGGCTTGCCATCAGGTATGTATTAGTAACTGTCTTCTCTTAGGATCACTGATTATCCTCTTGTCAGCAAAATCATCAATGCTATTTTCTTTTGAATGGCAGCATCTACACTATATCAAGAGTAGGCTTTTTACTTGTACTATCAACTATTGCCATCACCTATAGGTCTCTCAACCACAATAAAGTGAGGTGTCTCACTCTTGCCATGTTAAGCAGAGACCATGATGATCTAGAGGAAGCTATTGAAGCAGGTAGATAGATATCAGTTCTGTGGTACATCTCACTTTCTGCTCTTGCCTGCTCTCAATTGACTCTGCTCTTAGAGATTCTTGTGTCCTGAATACCATCACCACTAGCACTCTCTTCTTTCTCACCAGTGTCATCACCTTCTGCAGTAGGACACCCTGTCATCTCCTTTGAGAAAGACAGCACATTGGACCCAGATAGGCAATCTGCATCTAGATATTTATTGATGATCTTTGGTTTGATAGGACAAAAGCCTCACCAAATACTGATCTCTTATTCTATTTATGTATGGCCTATGTACCTTAGGAACTCATTTTCCTAAAATTTGTGTCAATGCTGTAAAGACCTTTTTTTATGTAAGACATCAAAAACAAGTTAAAGTTCTCCTAGAGAGTGAATAACAATATTTCAATTCAGAACATGTGTAGTAGCATTCAAGAAGATACTAAATTCTAATTATACACTTTCATAGTCAGGACTGTAAATCAGACTGCTAAAAGTAGTTACTCCAAAATGAATACAACTCATCCTAATTTAACAGTGCCTGTGTCTGAGGAGAATATGCCTTGATCATGCATTTGAAAGGCACAGGAAAGCTACACATAGAATTAAAAAATATATTGCTGCATCTTCAACATGAAAGCCTTACCTCAAAAGAGTGCTCATAAAGATTTCGCTTAGTTCAACAACTCAGCCTTCAGAATCTATGGCCTTCATGAATGACAAAGTTGACACTATAGATGTGATGGCAATCCAGGCAGTATCCAAAGCGATATAATGGTCAGGACAAATACTAGAAGAATACTGTCAAGAGCAGTCGACATAGATACATCACACAATGCTTACCATCTTTCAAAACCAAATGCCACTGTGGGTTCAGGTTCACATTCCTTCCTCTCCTGAGAAATGAACTGGTTGGGGTCAAACACTAGAGGGTTGAGATAATCCTTTTCATCATGAAGCATGGCCCTACATCATCTGTGAATCTGAGGCTGGGAGATCATACATTGATTGGTGACTGACCAAGTATTTCCAATGATTGTCACACCTACAAAGGGCACATAATCATAAACTGAGAAGAAAAAACATATTCAGAACATACCTGCAGGAATGTAGTAATCTCTGTAAACATCCTCTTTCATAGTATAGTGAGCAATACCTAAATCAAATTTATCAAGTCAAGTGTGCTTGTAGATCTGAGAGCACATACCCAGTGAAACAACAGAGTTCCATCTCATAGCTTCCAATACAATAGCATCAATATAGAGCAGTTGTGGATGGTCCTCAAAATTCAGCAAGTGGGTGCCATGACTAATCACAGCATTCAATTCAGCTTGGGCTTTAGCTTGTACCTTGGGGTAAAGAAAAAATGCAAGCATCACAGAAAGGACAACTATCATAGTCTTTGAACAGTTTGGAGACTCTGAACAATACACAAGGATGAAAACCTACTATGTCAGCTCCTGCTAATTAAAACATGAGATCAGATCTTCTGCAAGCACCAAGAAACACTAATCAGCAAAGGCAACTGCAGCTGTATTCTATATGATTTCAAGGTGCATTGAAGTGTCTGCTACTTTGATCTTTTGCATCTTTGTTAGATTTTCAGATATGAATAAAGAGGGTGCAAGGCTCTTCACCTAGAGTAAGAGTCAACTAGACCAATATCAATAAAAGAGTAAGTGAAGGCATACCATAGACTCTCTTGTGTATTCAAATAGTTCTTCTGACATGTTGTCAACATCTTTTCTCCAGGCTTACACTAGCCTAATAAATTCTGCACCAGGCAACCAACCTTCACAGTGCCTATATTACCAGTCTGAGCAGAAAATAAAGAAAACTCACATGGAAGATATTTCAAAATAGAGAAGTAGTCAACCAAAAAAGCTCTGATGTTCTCAACCATCTGAATGTTTTCCATCACATGATCCACCAGCTCCACAAATCGATCACCATTTGAATCTACATTATATCCATAGATGATTTTCATGATGGTGGAGCCTGTATAGCTAGAAGGCTATCATTTTCTTAGAACAGGCTATCAGGTACACTCAGCTCACTAGCAAACATGATGAACAAAAGCATTGGGAGATTTATACAGCTGTTGTAGCAAAACCAATGTCACTTTCATCTGCATAGTATAATATGCTGGAAGTGCATGAGGCTGAAAGTACTGTTGAAACATTCAACAGTGCATTCTGTGAAGACAAGGATGAAAACCAGATCAGGAATGATATACATGGTTATACTGACCTCTACCAGTTAGAATATCTCATTAAACCTATGTTAAATCCCCATCCCATTAAATTTAACATGGTGAAATCTATATAGTGTTATTACCAACTCTGAGATGGAGTGTATTATGCCCACTCACCTGGCCTATTGGAATAATTCCTGGATTATTTTTCAAAGAGATCAACTGCTGCTTTGATAGAGTTGATTACAACTGTCAGATTTTCAGGTATATCCAGATACAAGACATCACCATAGGTGGCAGCCCATTGAGCAAAGGTGCACTATGGGTAGTCCTCAGCCTGAGACACATCCCAGAGATTCCCTATGAATGGGAGTCTCTTAGGCCTAAGAGAGAGAGGTGGATAATGATGATTAAATGAGATACAGTCGATATAATAGTAAGGCACTGAATGACAGAAATACTAAGAGGAGGGTTGAGTTCATCATGAAAGGCTCTCTGTGAATGATATCTCTATGCTTCAGATTCCTTAAAAACCTATCTCATCTTTGCTCTCAGTTTATTCTATTGATAGATTTAAAAGAGAGCAGATGATGGGTCCACCTGACAGTGAACATGTGCTTATGAAGTACCAGTTTGCCATCTTATAACTCAGTCCAATAGACATACTGACTTCTCTTGGTAGCTTGGTGTCAGTGTCAGAATCAGGCACAAGCAATCATAGAAAGCACTGAGTACGACACTGGCAGTGAACATTGATTTAGTGATCTAGCTCTAGAGGGAAACAAGAAATAACAGTCATGCTATTGGTCCATCTACCTTCCCTGATCTAAGCATTGCAAGCAGAACATGCAGCACATCAAAGATCAGAGTATTATTGGCCCATTATTATACTGGCCTTCTGGTGAAGTGAGGTGGTTGAATTGGCTAGTGATTCTATTGGCATGGGGCCCTGATCAGAGACCTTGAGAGAAAAAGATGTCATTGGACAATCAAGGGCAGCAAAACAGTTGCCATGACATTGCAAAAATAAATATGAAGAGAGAGTCATAAAAACTGTTTTCCAATTGAAAATATCATAATGAGAATATTATACATTGAGAGGGTGTCTGGAACATCCCAAGATGCATTTTCTGAGAGAAAGACTTTGCTCTTAGATGCACATGGGCTAAGACATCTCAAGGATTTTGTACCAGTACTGCAAGATATTATTCATTGCTATCATATGAAGCTGAGGCCTCATGGACATGCTGATGTCACTCTTCATAGCCTGGCATTGGAATGAAGTAGGATGTAGGTTAAAAGTTGGCATGAATAGTGAGTGAGCAGGAGCACTATTGCTAGAGAATGTCTTAACTTGTATCAAACTCACCAGTCATGGAGAAAATATCCTCACAAGGATGAGTATGTGCTAATATCATGCTGGTCAGACTGAGTTTCCATCTTTATGTAGTCTCTGCATGAGGTTTCGATAAAAGCCAAATCTATCATCTTTTTCAGTACTCACTTAGTATATATCAGGATATATAGTGACTCTTTGGGGCCTCTCTTCCATCCCAACATGGATAGGATTGCCAAAATTTAGGCTCAAAGAGTCATCATAATGGTTTATAGACTATCAACTTATCTAAGACCCTTCATATAGAAGAAATATATATGTGAACCATCTGCTTATATGGCTTCAGTGCTTGTGCTTGAGACACAGCAGGATTCATTGTGTCTGTGGAACTTCATACTTTATTTTGAATCTCATATATAACCATATAAGGCAAAGATACTTCTACCAAAGCAGCCAAATCTTTGAGACATAGTGGCTATATATTTCTTGAAGTCATGAGACCACAGGCACATGATTCTCCTAGCTGATGCATTTTTACTACTGCTCTTATGTCTCACCTATTATCACTGTGAGATCTCAGGAATAATTTCACCATCTGTCAATCTTTGAGGTGATCTTTTGTCAAAGGAGATTAGTTATGGCAGAACTACAAGTATTGTCAGATCTCTGTGAGAGAATCAAGGTGATTGCCAGTGTATTTCTCTTCTTATGTTTTCTTGCTACTGTGCAGCATCTACAATTACAGATACTATCAGCCAAGAGTAAAAACTTAGTGTCTACTATCATGTCTATTATTATTGAATCAGATATCACTGCAAGACCCCAGAATGATTATAATCTCACTATCTGTCGATCTTCCAGATTCTCCTGAATCAAAGGAGATGGTTTATGTTGGAATTAGACCTGGCTCAGGATTACAGAACAAGATCTCTGTCAAATAACAAGAGAGACTGCACTTCTCCCCTTGTGAGTAAAGGTGGAGCATGTGTTACATCTATTTTATAGATTTCAGTGCTTTCTTAGTAGGTCACCTACCAACACTTTTTTCATTGTGACAGAGATACCTGAAATCATTCCATATATTTTAACATTTGTTTTTCTGGAATTTAAATCACTCATATCTTCTGTAATTCAACAGAATCAAGGCTTGAGATCTAACCCTTTGCCAATGCTAAGGCACTGGAAGTTTTTATCATGATCATCTTCTTGACATGCTGATCATTGTTTTAATATTTTTGCAGATTGCTAAACTGAATGCTATATAGCAATAGATACCATGTGCATTCTCTCCACAGATCATCTTATCTCTCATTATTCTACCTTCACTCAGAGACTGTTCATAGGCCATAGTCCCCCAGACCAATATTCCTCCAGACCTTTTTGATGCTGATAGAGCTATAATATTTCAAACTCTTGATGTATACTTGGGTTTGACAATATTTTATTCTTTCTTGAATGGTACACATATTCATTCAAATTTTTGGGTCTTATATCAATCAGAGCTCTTTATAGGCATATATACTAGAATCATGGCTGTCACACTCTGGAATATTTGTGAGGCAAACATATCAACTCTGCCATGCAAACTAAAGTGAAAGTCACAGTTTTGAACAAGTCCAAGATCATTGGATGAGCCATGGTCATCATTATAACCCTTCTTCATATTATTACTAATATCCACTTCATCTTTGCTTGTTCATATATCCACTCTGTATTTATCAACAATAGACAGAATTTTTGGATAGAGTATTTGTTCTATATCAGCCCCAGTATAGAAGCACTGGGGACTGATGTCACAGGCATCATCTATACTATCCTTGCTGATGCCACCATTGTGCATGTAATAATACCAGTTTTTGATAAAGCTTATTGTTCTTTCAATCATAGATCTGACACTGTTGAGCAGTCTGGGGTCAGTGGTGGCTGACTGTTCTGCTTCCTGTACTTCTTCTTTCTGCAATTGGTAAGACCTCTCAGATCTCTCAGTAGGCCAACTTATCCAGTCTCTATGCAGCATTCAAAATAATCAGTGTATACAAAGGTTATATCAACTCTGATAGCATATATGCTCTGGGTTTTGTCCTTTCTTCATCTTTTGTCATTGCTACAACCTTATGGTGCACATTACTCATTGTCTTCTATATCGTCACTGTAGCATGAGCAGAGGATGATATAAGAGTTGGACTTGGAGCTTACCATCATGTTATCGAAATTGTGGTTGAATCATCAACCCTCTACTTCATAGTATTGATATTATATCTGGCCCTCTATGCTCATAATGATATTATTGTGTATTACTTTGATCCTCTAGCAGCAATTGCAAAGATGCACTCAAATTCCTTCCCTGCCTTTATGTCTCACAGACATTATATAGGAAATTGCCCTCATGCTTCTTGTGGGATATGTTGCAGCAGATCATGCCTGCTCAGATGAATCTTGAAAGGCAAGTATAACATCAGGCTCATTCTATTTCTGGACACACTGCAGAGGCCAGAGCTCTCAACAAGATTTTATGATGAGCTCCAACCTTGAAGCTCAGTCAGAGATAGACAATGAGTATAGCCATCATACTGTAGTGGACTCTCAGGCAGATGATGTCAACAAGGACATTATATGACGTTAGAAAGTTTTCAAGGTGCAACAGGAGAGAAATAACACATCTGACCATTGCCACATAGCTGAATCCTCTAAGGATATTGAAACTGACTCAGAGAACTTCATCTGTGAGGATGGCCTGAAGTTTCAGAGGGAGAAAGAGGATGACTATAGTCATCACACATTGGCAGACTCCCAGAAAGATATTGGCATCAAGAATATAATATCTGATGCATAGATAGAGACATCTG